AGAAATGCTTCTGGGAGCATGTGAGTGACAGTGTAGGAGGCTGGGGGTGAGACTTAAAGTAAGGGAAATATTACCGGGGAGAGGAAAGGGGACTCCAGTTACATAGAAAAGTTTGGCAACACTGTTGCCATTGCCTCTGCAATGTGGAAAACAAAACGTGTACTTCATGAACTCGGCGACCTTGCTAAAGAGACTTCTGGGCTGAGTTTCCAAAATGCTGCCTGACTTTTACCTGGCTAGCTAGTGGCACCCTTCTACCACAATGTATGAACCAGTCATGTTGTCAAAGACATTGTCTCCATGCGTTCAATTATATACACCCTATGCCAAGCTTGTCCAACCCACGGCCTGTGGACCGCATGTGGCCCAACACAAATTTGTAAACTTTCTTAAAGCATTATGAGATGTTTTTTGCAATTTGGTTTTTTTTTTTTTTTAGCTCATTAGTGTTAGTGTATTTTATGTGTGGCCCAAGACAGTTCTTCTTCCAATGTAGTCCAGGGACACCAAAAGATTGGACATCCCTGTCCTATGCCTTTTTCAGGTCCCCAAAGAGTTGGCACTGTCACAATGACAATGGCTAACCTTTTGTCTTCCAGGTTACTCAACCTTGTTGGAGAAGGTGACACACAGAAGTCCAACATCGTTAGCACTGCCTAGGCTGGAGCGCAATGACCTGATCTCGGCTCATTGCAAACTCCACCTCCTGGGTTCAAGGGATTCTCCTGCCTCAGCCTCCCGAGTAGCTGGGACTACAGACACATGCCACCACACCCAGCTAATTTTTGTATTTTTAATAGGGATGATTTCACCATGTTAGCCAGGATGGTCTCGATCTCTTGACCTCGTGATCCGCCCACCTCAGCCTCCCAAAGTGCTGGGATTACAGGCGTGAGCCACCGCACCCAGCCTGCAGTGTCATCTTAGACCAAAGAAAGTGGGACTGGCAGAAGATCTGCTATCTCAAAACAGGAAAGTAGGTCACTAGTTCCTATCAACTGGGTTCCTTTGGCTTTCTTCACTCCTCTGTACTGTGGCTTCTTCTTTCCCCCGTGATTTTTGTTAAACATCTACACAAAAATGATTTAATATGCACAAAATGTATAAATAACTAACCCTGCCCCTCACCAGAACCATGATCCTGCTTTTTGTATGTATCCTTTCCTTGTTTCCCTTGTGGTTTCACTATATGCAAATCCCTAGTGATAGATTTAATTTTGCTGTTTCTGAACTAACAGAAATGGATCACACTGTATGTATTCTCCTGAAGCTTGCTTTATTCTCTCAACGTTCGCTTCACAAATGTCTTCATCTTTGTAACCAGTCTATAAAACCAAATGACTATCCTCTGTGGGTTCTGGCACAATGTCAGGTGACCAATAAACACCGTAAGAGGAGGCTGGGCAGCCTATGTCCACAGAATAGCTGAGCAGCTCACGTTCATGCAAATGTAGTTATAATATTCAGGAATAAGAGTTTCCAGAGAAGGTACAAAACTTTTAGGTGGCCCCCAAAAAACTTAAAAAAAAACTTTTAGGTGGCTAGGAGTAGTGGCTCTTGCCTATAATCCCAGCACTTTGAGAGGCCAAGGCAGGAGGATCACCTAAGGCCAGGAGTTTGACATCAGCTGTGGCAACATAGCAAGACCCTGTCTATACCAATAAAAGTTCTAAAGAAACTAAAAACTTTTGGGCAACTGCTAAAAATGAATCATTTGGTGTAAAGGAGACAGAGCAGGGACCCCTCTTAAAGGCTTGTGGATCTCCCAAGCATGGAAATAGCAGAAAATCTTGAGTTCCTTTAAGGGAAATTCCAGGCACCTACCCAGCCTTGAGATGTAAATGAGCAAATTAATAAGGAAGAAGGTGATAGTAGCTTAAACAAGGCTGGGTGCGGTGGTGCACACATGTAATCCCAGCACTTTGGGAGGCTGAGGCGGGCAGATCACATGAGCTCAGGAGTTTGAGACCAACCTGGGCAACATGGCAAAACCCCATCTCTACAAAAAATGTAAAAACTAACATTGTGACATGTACCTATAGTCTTGGCTACTTGAGAGGCTGAGGGAGAGGATAACTTGAGCTGGGAGGCAGAGGTTGCAGTGAGCTGAGATCGTGCCATTGCACTCCAGCCTGGATGACAGAGTGAGGCTCTACCTCAAAAAAAAAAAAAAAAAAAAAAGCCAAGGAAGTTAGAGTCAGAACTTGGTCCCTATAGAAAGGAATGATAGTATCTTAACATATGGCCCTGAGTTGTTTTAGAAACCCAGACCCTCACCAAATGTATCCAAATGTATCCACTGGCATTTAGACCTCAGATAAGGAGGAACTGAGGATTGAATTCTGACCAGTGCTTTTGGTTCTAAATGTCTTCCTGAGGGCCTCAAAGTCGTGCTTGCAAATCAGAACTAGCATTCTTTTTTCTTTTATTTTCTTTTTCTTTTTTGAGACAGTGTCTCACTCTATTGTTCAGGTTGGAGTGCAGTGGCACAATCATGGCTCACTTTAACCCCCACCTTTCCGGCCCAAGCAATCCTTCCACCTCAGCCTCCGAAGTAGCTGAAACCACAGGTCTGTGTCACCATGGTCGGCTAATTTTTAAATTATTTTTGTAGAGATGGGGTCTCCCTACACTGCCCAGGCTGAGAACTGACATTATTTTCTGCTGACCCCAAATTTTTAGACAAAGCTTTGTCTAAAGCACCTTAACCAGTTGTAACTCAGAAAATCTGATTTACCTATGACCTGTGGGCCTCCCCCCACTTTGAGATGTCCTGCTTTTTTAGGTCAAACCAATGTGTAGATCCATGTATTGATTTATGACTTTGCCCGTAACCTCTGTCCCACCTACCTTTATTTTATGTTTTATTTTTGAGACAGGGTCTCTCTCTTTCGTTCAGGCTGGAGTGCAGTGGCACAATTACAGTTCACTGCAACCTCGACCTCTTAGGCTCAAGTAATCCTCTTGTCTCAGCCCATCCCTGATTAGCTGGGACAACCAGCTAATTAAAGTTTTTTGTAGAGACAGGGTCTGTGTTATCCATGTTGGTCTTGAACTCCTGAGCTCAAGCAATCTTCCTGCTCCGGCCTCTCAAAGTGTTGAGATTACAGGTGTGAGCTACCACGCCTGGTCCCCAACTACCTTTAAAAACCCTTACTTGTCAGCCAGCAAGGATGAGCTACCTGATTCTCCTTGCTTGGTACCCTACAGGTAAACACTCTTCTTTCTCCCTCTGCAAACTTTGGTGTGGGTGTTTGGCCTTACCGTTCCAGGTGAAAGGACCCTGGTTCAGTTAGATAACATAAATATTTGTACTGTATGTATACTACCCAAGTACATGACTTCACTATTCAATTTGACAAATGCATTCTGTTACACAAATACAGATTAATAAAGCTGAACGAGTCCATCTTTCCCATTATCCCTGCATGAATCTTTGCATTAGTGCAAATAATTGAGAACAAACCATTGGTGGAGAGATGGAAAGACTGCTTGGCTCACCTACTCCCTTTAAGTATTTCCTTAACTAAATATCATAAGTAACACAAATACATCTTTCATACAATGTAGAGAACAAAGCAAAAATAACAGTTAATTCTCTGAGCATCAAACTAATAGGCCTAAGTATTTTTGTAGCGACTAGAGTATTTGTTTCTTTAGCCAGAATCCACTGATATTTTAGTGGTTTGGTTTCAGTCATGGCTTCCTTTTGCAATCACCTCTTGAACTTTAAAAAACTCTGCTCCAGCCTGGGCAACAGAGCGAGACTGTCTCAAAAAATATAAATAAATAAATATTCTGATGCCTGCATGCCACACTGGGACATTCTGATGTAACTGGTCTGCAATGGAGCCTGGGCATGGGGATTTTTTAAAGCCCTGGTGACTCTAATATGCAGCAGAGTTTGAGAATCCCTTGGTCCTACTCTGACAGTGTCTAGCACAGTGCCTGGCGGAGACCGATGCTCAGAATGAACAAACTGAGGTTCTATTTGTCGAGAAGGAGGAGAGCAGTGTGTCAATCACAAATGCAAACAAACCATAAGCGTCAGTCAGGCCCTGGACAAAGACAGTGGTCAGGCAATTCCTGCCAAGTAAGTGTGTGAGGGTGACACCCACTTAGTGCAAGTTGTTGCTGCTTACCTTTTTTTCCTTTATTTTTATGTATTTATTTTTTTTGAGACAGGCTCTCACTGTCTCTCATTCTGGAGTGCAGTGGCCCTGTCATGGCTCACTGCAGCCTCGACCTCCTGGCACAAGCAACTCTCCTGCCTCAGCCTCCTGAGTAGCTAGGACTACAGGTGTGTGCCACCATGCTTGGCTAATTTTTAAACTTTTTGTGCAGGAGTGCGGGGTGGGGTGGGAGGTGAGGGTGTGGGGGTGAGGAATTTCATTATGTTGCCCAGGCTGGTCTCAAACTCCTGGGCTCAAGCGATCTTCATGCCTTGGTCTCCAAAAGTGCTGGGAATACAGGCGTGAGCCACTGCACCTGGCCAAGTTTCTATCCTGACTAACTAGAAAAGGTGTCATCCTTGAAATGCAGGTACTGTTCAGCCAAATTCCAAAGCCCTCTGAAGGTCCAAGTTCATTAAGTTCAGAGGTGGCAGGCTGAGTCTTGTTTGCGCAAATGAGGCAGAGGATGACAAGGCAGGGTGGGCACTTCGAGCTTTGGCCCAAGTCTGGTCGGCTTGAGAGTCAACCTAGGAGCCTATCTCTGCTCCAAATGGCAGTGTGGCAGCTCTTCCCGCGTAGGGAACAAGCGTGTAGGGGGCACCACGGTGAGCTGGCCGGGTCTGCTCCACCGGTGAGGATAGAGTGCAGCCTCCACCGGGAACCAGGGGCGCGAGTCGCTGCTCAGTGGCCCTGGCCTGCACGTGGCGCGGCGGGAGCAGCTGTCTAGGGGCGCGCAGCGCCAGGGGGTGAGGACTACATGTCCCGACGTGCCTCGGGCAGGGTGGGGCGGCGCCGGAGCCGGGCGGGGAGGCCGGCCAGGGCCAGGCGTGCGCAGTGGTTCTTGGGAGTGGCGGAGCGGGTCCTGCCCGGCTGTCAGCTGTGGCCCCCGGCGCCGGGCGGGGGTGGCCGCGACCATTGGCGGAGAGGCGCACGGGGCGGGGCCGGCCCCAGCCGCTGCGGGCAAGGCTGAGCAGGCGGAGGTGGGCAGCCGGCCAGGGAAGCACGGTCCGGGCGGCTGCATTCGGCCTGGCCATGGCAGCGGCGCCCCTGAAAGTGTGCATCGTGGGCTCGGGGAACTGGTGAGCAGCGGTGGGTTGGAGGCGGGGGCTCCGCCTCCAGGAAGCGCCTCTCCCGGGCGGTGAGGGCTGCGCGCTCCATGCCGCGGCGTGGGCACCCGGCTCTGCGCGCAGGGAGGCGGGGTGGGCGACCTCGCTGCGGGGCTGGACACCGCGCGCCCGAGGAGGCCGCACCGGGGACTCGCTTGGGAGGCGCAGGGCCCGCGTGCGCGCGCGGGACAGCGCGGAGAGAGGGCAGCCTGCGCACGCGGGCACCTGTCTGCGCCCTCGTTACTGAGCGCACCGAAGCCACCTGCTCGCCACGCCCGGGTGTTTTGCACGATATCCTGAGGGCGCACTCCGTTCTCCGTGGTGGATCTCCTGGGTCAAGGAATTGGAAGAGGCTCGAGCATTCTTACTGCAGTTTCGGTGTTGAGGAAACCGAGGCGGAGGGGGCTAAAGGGCTCTTGCTGCCCAAGTCACGGGCGGGGCAGGCTCTGCCCTTCAAGGTGCCCGTCTCGCCCCCGCTTCTGATAGGTCCACTATCTTAGGCGTGTCGTATCAGGAAGAAAATCCAAGTTTCAACAGGCCGCTCCCCCTGAGGCGCTGAGAATTCTTCCTTGCTGAGATGTTTGCGAAGGGTTGCGTCTCCTTGGGGCCTTATTTGACCTGAACATTTTGTAAAGCACTTTAGAAATGTCAGTTCTTCTAGTACCCTTAATCAAATGTACGTCGTGGGTGAATATAGACCTGGGGGTGTGAAGGGGAAAGGAAGCAAAGTGTAGCATGTGGTGTTTCCAAGCCTGTTTTCATTGCTGTACACTCTTTTCGCCACATTGGAGGGACTGGTGGACAATAATTAAGAGTGACAATGCCCTTTCAGTGCTCCTGGTCACCGGTTTTTCTGTGGTGTGACAGGCATCGGAAGTGCTGCAGCAGTTGGTCCTAGGTAGTTGGTCTTAGTTTCTCTCTTTCACGACTTGGCCCAGAAGGTACTTATTGGAAGAAACCTTACCTGGTTCTTCACTTTCCCATCCCAGCAAGGCCAGTAGCCTCTGTCCCCCTCTTTTGCTGGCCTGTATCATGGCATTATAAGGATTTATTTGATTATCTGTTTCCAGCATTTGAGAATGGCATCTACCCTAGTGCCTGGCATATGCCAAGTCAATACTAAGACTCAGTTGCCCAGGCTGGAGAGCAGTGGCGTGATCTTGGCTCACTGTAACCTCCACCTTCCTGAACCAAGAGATTCTTGTGCCTCATCCACCTGAGTAGCTGGGATTACAGGTGTGAGACACTGCACCCCGCCTGAAAACTGATTTTTAAAACCATAATCATATTTGATTGAATAACACATTCACATTGACAACCAAGGCCAGGTACAGTGGCTTATGCCTGTAATCCCAGAACTCTGGGAGGCAGAGGTGGGCCTAGGAGTTTAAGACCAGCATGGGCAACATGGCAAAACCCCGCCTCTACAAAAAATAAAAAATTAGTTGGGCATGGTGGTACATGCCTGTGGTCCCAGCTACTTGGGGGGCTAAGGCAGGAGAATCACCTAAGCCTGGGAGGCAGAGGTTGCAGTGAGCCAAAATCGGATCCACCATTGCCCTCTAGTCTATGAGAAGGGAATGAAACCCTGTCTCAAAAGAACAAAACAAAATTTAAAAATTAAAAAAAAGCAGCAACAGGCCAGGCACAATGGCTCATGCCTGTAATCCCAGCACTTTAGGAGTCTGAGGTGGGCAGATCACAAGGTCAAGAGATCAAGACCATCCTGGTCAACATGACAAAACCCTGTCTCTATTAAAAATACAAAAATTAGCTGGGCATGATGGTACCCGCCTGTAGTCTCAACTACGCAGGAGGCTGAGGGAGGAGAATCACTTGAACCCTGGAGGCAGAGGTTTCAGGGAGCTGAGGTTGTGCCACTGTACTCCAGCCTGGCAACAGAGCAAGACTCCATCTCAAAAAAACAAAACAACCCAAAGAGTGCCAAAGACAGTGAAACATCTCCCGTCCACATTTATTCCCCCTGAATACCTCCTGGAGGAAAACCGGTGTTACTAATTTCCTCTGTCTTTCTGGAGGAAGTCCATGCAAGTGAATGCTTACATATATTCCTTTCCTCTTCTACCCTGCAAATACTAGGGCATTGCTTACTTTTCTGTGAGCTGCATTTTTCAGTCAACAACAATGTTCTACACAACATTTAATGGAGTTGGTACCTTGCTGCTGCTTAGCTTTGCCAGTTTTAATCTCAAGGTCACTTGAGTGCAATACCAGCTTCCCTATTGGCCATGCCATTCGAAAGGCACCCATTTAGCACATGATTTTTTAACATTAGTTTTCTATTCTGTGGCATTCCACAGATAACAACCCCTCTTCCTAATTTACAAGGTGCAGGACAAGTAGCGCAGCTCTGCCATGCTGGATCTGCAGCAAGAATAGTGAAGTGAACCTCCTGCCCCCTCTGCTGGGATTTGGCTGCCTGCCCTTGGCTTCTTCATTCTAATGTACTTGACTGTTTCCTTGGCCCACTCCAGCCCAGGGAAATGGAGAAGAACTTGGCCAGTGACACTGAAGCAGAGCAATTGAGAAATGGTTTTGGCTGGCTTCCTGGCTTCATTAATTATGGGATCAGACGGGAACAGTTATTGGCTTCTCTGCCACTGCCTTGGGTACAGAGATACTCCAGTCCTAGAGAGAGGATCACGACCTCTCCAGAGGGATTCAGGAACTCAGGAACTGAAAATAACATGGAGAAGCCGCAGAGGGGTGTTCAGCTCTGGTCGGTAGATGTTTGAGTATTGCCCGGTGTAGATACTGTGGTCTAACCAGGGATGTAGGCACAGCTGGACACGGTCCCTGCCCTTGAACAACTTACCTTCAGGAACACGATCAGTAAGGGGTGGAAAGTAAGACCAAAGGAAATGCCAAGTGGAATGGAGTAACTGCTCTGTTGCATTTTAAATTGTGTTTCTTTTCTTTTTTTTTTTTTTTTTTTGAGACAGAGGCTTACTCTTGTTGCCCAGGCTGGAGTGCAATGGCGCCATCTCGGCTCACTGCAACCTCCACCTCCTCCTGGGTTCAAGCGATTCTCCTGCCTCAGTCTCCTGAGTAGCTGGGATTACAGGCGCCTTGCCACCACACCAGGCTAATCTTCTTTGTATTTTAGTAGAGACAGAGTTTCACCACGTTGGCCAGGCTCGTCTCAAACTCCTGACCTCAGGTGAGCCACCCACCTCGGCCTCCCAAAGTGCTGGGACTGCATGCGTGAGCTACCACCCCGGCCTTAAATTTTGTTTTTTAAAGTGTGGTCCAAAGACTACCCATGTCAGAATTAACACTGAAACTAGACTTACTTAATCACATCTCCTGAGAATGAGACTTTTATTTTTTTCTGAAGGAACTTTAGCCTTTTGCCAATTTTAATATGGATCACCAAGAGGTAAACCTACCCTTTCAGATCTGGTTCTTACTTCAGGAATGTCAAGTTGCTTAAGCAATATTTATACTTGGAACTTTAAGGCAGTTTAGCCTGCTTGTATAAATAATAGTATTTGTCACATATAAGCTTATAGCTAAAAGGTAGCCAGAACTGTCACATGGAGAGCCTCTCCCAAGTCAACCGTCATCAGTTACAATACAGTTACCAGAATATTAAATCTAGCTGGCTTGCCAGGGAGCTTCAGCCGGAAGAACCTGGGCAGGAAAGTAAACGTGTTGTATAACATGCCCTCGTCCTGTCCTTTGGTGAACCTCATTTTTCTCTATACAGATCAGAGAGAGGGGGCCAGAGGAGGGGCCCTCATGCATCCAGCTGAGCCTTGCTGCGCTGCCCATTGCCTGGGGTGCAGGGAGGGACTTCCTAACCTGCATGACTTTTCCTGGCCTTGTGACTTTGACTTGGAAAAACAATAAAAGCTTTTTAGATTCCTTCAAAGATGAAACAGAGTTTCTTTTCTTTCTTTTCTTTTTGTTGTTGTTGTTGTTGAGATAAGAGTCAGCTCTGTCACCCAGGCTGGATTGCAATGTGCCATTTTAGCTCAGTGCAACCTCCATATCCTGGGTTTAAGTGATTCTCATGCCTCACCCTCCTGAGTAGCTGGGATTACAGGTGGGCACCACCACTCCTGGGTAATGTTTGTATTTTTAGTAGAGACAGGGTTTTGCCATGTTGGGCAGGCTGGTCTTGAACTCCTGGCATCAAGTGATCTGCCTGCCTCGGCCTCCCAAAGTGCTGGGATTACAGGCATATGTTGAGAAATGTTACGTTTGTGAATATATATGTTGAGAAATGTTAATTTTATGAATATTGATGAATACTGAGTGTATGATAGACTACATTGTTTGCTAGGAAGAATGATGGCAAGACAAACCTAGCTGACTGCCTCCCCCAAGTAGAAAACTACTTGGGGTTTTCCAAAGTGGCAGGACAATGTATAAATATCATACACCAGATAAAACAATTCTTTGAGATAGCTGACCCTGCCCCCATAGCTCCCTCGTGGAGAATACCTTTTGGCTTGTTTGTATTACTAGTGGTAAGCGGACAGTAGCTGCCTACTTGGTATGTTTTTGTGTTATGAGAAAATACAGAACACCTGTTTGTTAATCACCTGTTCAGAGAGAATAAATATGTGGATCAGAATCTGCTCAGGACCTTCAGCCTGGAATGCTGTCAGCCCTGAGGCTATCAGTTCGGAAGGCTGCTGGCCCTCTGGCTAGACCCACTTTGCTGTTTTATCTGGGTGTCCGCTTCTCATCTTCTTCAGCGCCGCCTGGGCGGGGGTCTCTCTGGCAGAGCTGGTACTCGGTAGGCTTGAGCCACCGTGCCTGGCCCAAAGTTTCTTTCTTTTAACCAACACTTTGGGTAGATCACCCAGACAGTTGAAAATACAGTTCTAGCGTTAAAACTTCAGGACTGTATTGACAGACAAACCTCTGCGATGGGAAGCATACATCTAGAAACACATCCTAAATTTCCTTTGGAGGCGGGGTAGTACAGTGGTATAAGAAAG